AAGCACCCTATAGTTTTCAACCAAGTGGGCCAAACCACTCCTAGTTTGTAGAGATGTCTCATACCCCATAACCTTAGAAACAATCTCCTCCTCAGGGTTGAAACACTCCTCCCTCTCATCTTCTCTCTCCAAAATATTTGGGGGTACCCCTAAATCTATCCCCTCTCTTTCCTCAAACCTCCCTCTAATCCTTTTATCGCAAACCGTCTCTTCAGAGGACATTCTCGCTACTCTAAAGAAAAGTAGAAGGAAGATGCTCACAAGTTATCTGATTTCAGTTGAGCAAAGCTCAACCAAAGCAAAGTGCAAAAAGCTCTGTGAACATTTTCACAATGTTAGCAGTATTATGGAATTAAATTTTCGCGTAAGTGTAGCTATATGTATATCATGGCAAACACACGCTTTCACGATCAATTTCTTCAACAATCGTAACCTTGCCCTTTCAAATTCACCATTTAACTTACCGTCACATCTTTTTGAATGTGACAGTTACTTTTTGCATACCGTATTTATTATTACACGTCCTTCAATCGTTTGGTACATTAATCGGTTTCAAAACTTCATAAATGGGCCCATTTAAGGCCCACTTTGAGCCTCTTCGTATACATTTTGCACAAAAATTACCAAGTGTCCCACCTTCACCTTTCACCTTGGCTACGGTCATAATACGTGACTTCGTGTCACACTTTTCACCTCGGCTATGACCATAGCGCATGACCCGTCATGCTTTTTCACCTCGGCTATAGCCATAAAATGTGGCTTCGTGTCACACTTTTCACCTCGGCTACAACCATAGCGCATGACCCATTGTGCCTTTTCACCTCGGCTACGACCACAATGCATGACATGTCATGCCTTTTCACATCGACTATAGCCATAAAACGTGACTTGGTGTCACACCCTTTGCCTCGACTATGGCCATAACGCATGACCTGTCATGCCTCTCCATCTCGGCTACGACAAAACACGACCCTATGTCATGTCTCTTCACCTCGGCTACAGCCACAATGCATAACCCGTCATGCCTTTTCACTCCAGCTACGGCTGCCTCTTTCCATTTTGGCTTCCACCATGACCATCTCATACATTCCCCATATCGGTTACCACCAACATCACACCACCTACTTCCCATTCATCATTCACAAGTGAATGACTTTGGGGGGGAATAGTGTGAGGGTATAAATATGCAAGGCAGAGCTCAATGCTCTGCCACACCTCAGTTCTCTACTACAAATGCACAACATGCAAGGCAGAGCTTAGTGCTCTGCCACACCTCGGTTCTCTACCACAAGTGCACGGCAGTTACAATGAGAACACCCTTACCCAATTATTTGTCCTTACCTGATCTTCGACCTGCTTCGCTAGAACATGCCACACGCGTTTAATGTGGTTGCTCCGTTAAGGTACGTTATGTTCACCTAAGACGTTTGCTCCGTCAAGCATAGCATATCATGATTATCATATTAAGTAGGCCATGTGGGTATAGGTAGGCCACATGGATACCTTGCCAAGATGTATAAAACCTATGAGAAAAGGTACGTTATATAGATGGAATAATCATAAAGAGAACACTTTCTAGAAAAATACTAACTTAAGCATTGGAGTTTCTCGTCGAGGACCAACCTTGGGATTTTGCAAGTCTGCCCAAAGAGAAGATACACAAAGGGAAGATCTTAGAGGCTTTCTGCAACAACACAAGTGATGATGTGAATGATCATGTGGCAATTTAGTATAATGGGGCCGTTTGTAAGTTGGGTTTTTTTGGGAAAAAAATTATGTTTAGAAAATATTATACATTGTATTTTAATAGTGTTTTTTATTTTTATTTTTGAATTACTCTATATAGTATTGGTTGAAAAAATTGAAGAAATATAAACAAAAACAAAGAATATAAACGTTACCAAAATGAGCCCTACATAAGCATTTATTTGCATTTTATTTTCCAATAAAAATACATGAAATTTTTGGAGACTTAAACGTGCAAATAGGCACTTGACTGAGGGAAGGCCCAAAATGGAGTCAGAAAATAAGTTTAAGGACTATTTCATTTGCGAAAAGATATAGAGACTAAAATCAGACGAAATTTGAAAGTTGTGGGACCATATTGTACATTTAACCTTAATGTTTTAGAGGAGTTGTCTCTTCGAAAGGGATACCGCCTTGTAAAATGTATAGTATCCGAAAAGTCATTTATTTTCATGAAAATTTTGAAATTGAATGTCTATTCACAGTCAATTTTGGGTGAAATTTATATTCGATTGGGCTATTATTGATATAGTACTAAATTCAATAAAGATAAGAATATTGATATTCTTTCATATAATTTACATCTTTAGCTTCTTATCAACTCCAAGTAGATTGTGAGAGCATCTCACATTCTTTCCATGTTAACATGGGTTGTGAACATAAGAATGTTAATATTTTTTCTCTATAATTTTCATTTTTAACTCCTCCAACTTAAAACAGTTTGTGAATACTATTCACATTCAGTTGAAAAGTTCTCCACACAAAATTGATTTTGTTGAAGTTAAGAAAGTTGATATTTTTTCTATATATTTTTCATTTATAATTTGTTATCGATGTTTAAAGTAATTTCAGATGAAAACTCATATTTAACTAAGAGAAGTTAAACATTTAGCGTATTGTACAGCCATAAAGGTATCGAAGAATGTAGTGTTTGAACCCGGTACCTTCCCCAATCTAACTTATTAAGACAGAAAGATAGATATACTAGGACATCTATAAAGCAAAAGGAATTTACTTTTGAAGATTGATAAAAGCAATAAATAAAGGGGATTCGTTTTTGGCTTGATAGCATCCTTTCATGCATTGATCACTGCCCTGGACTCTTGGCCAGTATTTCCCTGTGAAGTGACCTACAAATTCTGCACTCAAGACTTTTGTTTTGAATTTCATGAAGAATTGAAGTTTGGGTAAAGGTGCTGACACCATGGATAAAGTTGACCACGAGGCCCACACCCGTGCCATGGAACAATGAAGAAACAGAATCCGGTCAGAAGTCTGGAGACGCACGATAATGATAGTGGAAAATTCACACCACTTGAAAACAAATTATAATTGACAGGATAAATGTCGGTTATAATTAATGAAGAATTAAAATGGATGAAATGAAAGAAAAAGAGGGCCACTTTTCCGTCTCAATGATCCATTCTTAAACGTTAAACATTTGGATTTACTTGGTTGAAAATTTAATTTTTATTAATATTTTCAAAAATATTTTCATCTCTCAAATTTCTCAATGTTAAAAAAAAAAAAATGAAAGAAAGAGGGAAAGAAAGGTGACTTACAATTTAAAAAGGAGCTTTTCAATTAATCAAAAAGAAAAAATTGTTTACTAGTTGGATTAAAAAAATTAGCTGAAAAAATATTTTTAAATTATATTATTTTAACAAATTTTTATTTAAAAAAACCTCAACATTTTTGTTTCTAAATAAGAAAGAAATTATTTTAATATTTTTTCCATATTATTTTATTAAAATGTATAATTTTACACATTTTTTTGCTTATTTTTTAAGGTTAGACCGGCAAAGATATTAATATAAATATTCTCTTATTTAACATATTTTGTAAAAGTTATTATTTTTTAATTTAAAATTAAAGATAAGAAACTTAAAAATATAATTATGTTAATAACTTGAAAATATTGATTTAATTAATTATATTTATATTATATTTTAATAATTAAATTAATTAAATATTAATATATGTGCCAAACTAAAAATATTTAAACTATTTTCAAACTGATAAATATTAATCTTGAAACTAAATTTATTAATAGAAATATAAAGGGTGTCTAGGATCATTTTTGTGGAATGACAGCTCATATGTGCCATTCCTTGTGTTTGAGAGACTACCCTTTTCTTTTCTACTGAATCAGGGGAAAAGGAGTTTTGCGGAAAGATGCGACAATGTGTACAAAAAGATGACAGGATAGGGACAGGTGCACTTCATGATTTAAAGTTTGACCCTTAAGGTGTATGGATAGCTACAATTCTTTAGGATAATAAAATTCAGCTCAATTATATAAATTTTTCGAAATTGATACGGCTACTTGTAATCAAAACATATTATTATATAATTAATTTTTTATTTAAAAATTTATTAATAATATTATATATATTTATTTAATAATATATTATAATTATAATTTATCAATTTAATAATATATTATAAATATAAATTTATAGTCTTGCATATCGTTGTAATTATATCATTAACAAAACTAAAAAAAAAGAAAGATATTCTACTGATGGGTGGATGAAGTATGAACAGAACATAAAAGATAGATACCACTACACCTCAATGCACATGCAAGCCCCATGTATAAATAAGTCCCACTTCCACCTGTGTGTTATCAGACAATACACAAGCCATATGCAGAGAATTGAGAGCGGTAGTCCAACATCGATATTCAGCCCAAGTGATGATCCAACCCCCGGGAGAGAATTTGTATTGGTGAGAAGCATTTCTCTTTCCCTCTTTGTCTGTAATTTTTGGTGGAGTGGAGTTGATGATACTCACAGGCTTCAAAATCTTAAATTTGAAGTTAATGATTTCTGCAGCAGCTATACAAACCAATTTCTTTGTTTATCTAAACAAAATGACAGGGATGGGGTTACCATATTGATTTTTATTTTTTATTTTTTGGTTTGAGATTATTAGGGTCTCCGTTAGCTTACATGAATATATGGAGAGTAATTCCTCTTTATGCAATTTTAATGGGATACCCTTCACATCAATTTATGCATATTTCAAGACTAATCTATCTCCTGGCGATCTTAAGAGCACACTACTTTTGTATTGCTACGATGCATTCAAGGAAATTATTTTCTCAGGTAATAACGATAAGACTTACACCATAAATCTATCTTACAAAACAATACTTTTGCAAAAAAATTCAGGCCTTTGGTTGCCTTTCTTTTTCTCAATCTCATATAATATTTACCAAGAAAATGGCTTGTTGCTCTTATTAACTTTTAGACATAAACAATACTACTTTTGATATATCTCCTCCACTTTGCACATGATATTATTCTTTGTCTTTGCTTTCCAAAACTTTCTTTCTGCACAAATCATTTTAGAGAAAATACATGGTCGCATCAATTAAAGTACTAACTTCTTAATTTACTCAGTCCAACTTTCAGGTTGGTCACTGATATTCCAGCAACCACAGGGGCAAGCTTTGGTGAGTAATATATCATAATTAATAACTTTTTTTCCCTTTTGTAACCTTGCCTAAGAATGAACAATTAATGATCCTTGGATTAGTTGGTTCTTTGGACAAAAAACCACGTCCGATATTCCACTTTCCCGTGTTTCTGTTCCCCTAATAATGTTGTGTTTCTAAATATTGAACAATGCTGTGCAGGACAAGAAGTAGGGCGCTATGAAAGTCCAGTCCATCTGTGGACTGTGGGGATTCATCATTTCTTGTTCATGTTGCTTCGTCAGCTGGGAAGGCAGATATTATATGAGTGTCAGTACTTGAAGATTAATGGATGCAGGAAGGATAATGAAGTATGAAAATTGGTCTGTGGGGATTCATCATTTCTTGTTCATGTTGCTTCGTCAGCTGGGAAAGCAGATATTATATGAGTGTTTGTCGGAATTGTTCTAGATGAACATGCTACCAAAGCTGCAGTTTGAATTAGTTTATTTTCAAATTGATTACTGTTTTCTGTGTTTTTTAATTTATGGCAGTTTATTTAAAAGTTTGTTTGTATTAGATAAGTGTTGAGGTAGTTTTTGTAACCACCCTTATCTGTGTACTTAAGTTTATTTAGCAGAATGAAAATTCAGAGTGGCTTCTGCACTCAGTCTCTCCTTTCTTAGTATCATATCCTTCAGTATGTAGTTGAAGGTTAATGGATGCAGGAAGGATCATGAAGTATGAAAAGCCAGTAAAACATAATGTTTTGTCTTCCTACTTATGTGAGTATGAAGGGTCGTAAAAGAACTTTGCTGAGCGCTTTACAATCTTGGGTAACCGGCGGCTGATGTTTAATTACTTCAATTGCCAGAGGGAGATCGAGTGGCTCTCCGACTGCCGGAGTACTTACTGAATGAACACTTTATACACAGACATTGAAATGGATGGATTGAATTATGTGTAGTTGAAGATTAATGGATGCACAAAGGATAATGAAGTATGAAAGAGCTAATAAATTAAACATAATATTATCTCTTCCTGTCTTCCTGTTTATATAAGAAGAGTATAAAGCATCTGAATTGTAAG